AGGGTCACCAGCAAGATGGGGTTGAGAGTGAGAGGTACCAGCATGGCCCAGGGGAGCAGGGTACTGTGGTTTGGCAGTGAGGGGCACTGGCAGGGCCAGTGGGCTGCGGGTCAGGAGTGAGGGGCAGCAGCAGGGCTGGGGTGGGGCAGGGGCCTGTATGTCAAGAGTAAGGGGCACTGGCAGGGCTGGGGGGGCCTGTGGGTCAGGAGTGAGGGGCACCAGTCAAGCTGGAGGCCCCTTAACCCCCCTGTTGTATGCCCCAGGGGCGGGTTCTTGTGCAAGGACAATCTGCTGGTTACCGACATGCTCACGAGTGGTTACAGGAGCTGGAAGGCCTGCGGGAAGAAGCCCCCAGGTGAGGTCTCTCCTGCACTGAACACTTGCTCACACCCTCTCCCCCATTACAGGCCACTAGGGGGTGTTGGGGCCCCACCAGTGCCCCTCACTCCGACCCGCAGTCCCCAGCTGCTAGGTAGGTGGGGAGAGGGCAGCTTAACCCTGATGGGGACTTTCCTGCCTCCCCCCTACCCCAGGCAAGTGCAGCCATGGGACCCCTGATGACATCACCAGCAGGTCCGCGCCCACTGGGGGCATCAACAAAGAGACCTGGGACCCAGTGATGTCCCCCCACCATGACTTGCACCTTCAGGCTGCCAGGCTGGCCATCCAGGCCACCCGGGACTTCTTTGTGGCACCAGGTGAGAGAGACCCCCGCCTTGACCTGACTAGTGCTCCCTCACTCCTGACCCAAAGCCCCCTGCCCCGCTCCAGCCTGGCCAGTGCCCCTTACTCCTGACCTGTAGTCCCCTGGTGCCCCTCACTCCCAACCCGCAGCCCCCTTACCCCCCCATCCTAATTGGTGCTCTTCACTCCTGGTTTGCACCCCCTGCCCCCCCAGCCTCACTAGTACCCCTCACTCCTGAACCAAAGCCCCTTGTCCCCACGCAGCCTTATCAGTGCCCTTCACTCCTGACTGAAAGCCTCCTGCACCCCCTACAGCCTGTTAGGTGCCCCTCACTCCTGACCTGCAGCCCCCCACTTCCATCGGTTTCCCTCACTCTGGACCCCCAGCCCTCTCCACCCTCCTGGTGTCCCTCACTCCTAACCTGCACAGGCTACGGGTTCCTGGATAAGGTGGGTGAGACAGCCTTCCGGAGCTTCTTCAACCTGGCCACCTATTCCCTGACCTTTGTGGTGGATACTACGGGCAGCATGTCCGAAGAAATTGCCTGGGTCAAGGACCACTGCCTGGAGCTGCTGCACAAGTACGCCGGGTCCCCTGATGCCCCCCACAACTATGTGCTGGTACCCTTTAGTGACCCAGGTGAGCCTCTCCAGAGCTGTAGCTCCTGTCCCTGTTATACCAAGCCTGATGCCCCACCACAAAGTTATCTCACCCACAACCCAAACCAGAAGCCCCATGTGTATTTTTCTGAGGTAGAAATATACCCAAAAGATTTCCCCCAGGTTTAAGACTTAGGGAGCAATGAGAGCCCCAAAGCTGCACCTGCTTAACTGAAGCTGAAATCCTAGATGCAGCTGACAACAGATCTTGGGGTGGGGGGTGAAGGATGGGATGTAGGAGTATTGAAAAAAGTTAAAGACTTTCTCAGACAATGAAATAGGAGGAGAGAGACTGGGGTAGAGAGCAGACTGCAATATTGCCCTGAGAAAGGTGTGCTTGGTTAGTGGACGTTGGAGGCTATTAAAAAGTAGGGACAGTCATTAACCAGCGAGTGAAGAATGAGGAGCTGGGAAGCCCATGGACTTCCCTCGATGCCTGAATAGACATGCCCCAGCTGTTGCGCTGTAGACAATCACAGTCTGGGGAGGGGGCAGGTTTTCTATCACGGGTAGAAAATCATAATCCCTGGTTACATACACCCATCCTTTTTCACACACCCCAGACTTTGGGCCGGTCTTTGTCACGGAGAATGTGAAGGAGTTCCAGGTGGCCATCGAGGCACTCACAGTGTCCGGAGGAGACGATTGTCCGGAGATGGCGCTGAGTGGATTGGAGCTGGCACTGAGAGCCAGTGAGCCAAGGTGATCCTCCCTGGGGTTGTTACAGGTGGCTGTTGCCCCAGTGCCCCACCCCAGAGCCAGCTGCAGCTCCTGTCCCTGTTATACCCAGGTCTAAGATCTTCACCTTCACGGATGCTAGCGCTAAGGACATCGATAAGATGGATGTGGTCAAGATGCTCGTGGAGTCCAAAGGCAGCCAAGTTAACCCCCTCCTGACTGGGGTGTGCCATGAGGACCGCGCCATCCGGGGTGAGACCTGGATTCAGTCCGGGCCTGATCCTGGGGGGATGGGAATGGGGCACGGGTTATTCTCCTTCCAGGGGGTCCTGATCTCAGCCCAAATTTGGGGTGAAAGGAGCAGGGATTGTCACTCTGGAGGGGGACCCAATCTGGGCCTAATCCTGGGGGGATTGGGGCTATAACCTTCTAGGGGGCCCTAATCCTGACTTGATTCTTGGGGGGAAAGGAGCTGGGGTGGCCACCCTTCTGACATCTCCAAGCTGGGGATAGGTGGTGGGCGTTGTTCTCCTCCCCAGAGGGTCCCAATTTTGGCCCGATCCTGGGGGCAGGCTCTGGGGGTCGAGGAGGGGTCTGGATCCTACTCTGCCTATGTTTTTCTCTGCAGAGGCCCCCAGGCCCTTCACCAACGTCTTTGAGGAGCTGGCCTGGCTCTCGGGTGGCTTCTATGTGCTCACGACCAAGGCGAAGCTCCCCGAGCTGCTGGGGGTGATGGAGCTGGCCCTCAATGCTGCCCCTGTCACTGTCATCCGGGGCCGGCTCAGGGGGGACCCGATGTACTTCTCTGTGGATGATGCCCTGAGTGAGTTCACAGTCTCCATCCGCAGCCTGGAAGGGGCCAGGGCCGAGGCCTTCTCGCTCACTCTTCAGCAGCCTTCAGGTGATCCACGTGGCTGGGACGTCCCCCAGAGCCAGCTGCAGCTCCTGTCCCCGTTATACCCAGCTCTGCCCCCTCCAGAGCCAGTTGCAGCTCCTTATCTCTCCGCAGGCACTGCCCCACCTGACCTAACCACGGTCATTGCCTCGGTTGACCGGCAGGTCGTCAAGGTCCCCCGTGTGGCTGAGACAGGGATGTGGAAACTGACAGTGGTTCCCAGCGGATACTATGAAGTGGAGGTTGGGGGCAAGAGCCTGCTGGACATCAACATCCAGCTCCTGGAGGGCACCCAGGACCTGATGCTGCCCATCCAGGGCCGGCCTGTCCAAGGTGACCCCACAGCAGGGCTGGGAGCCTGGATGCCTGAGTTCTCTGGGAGGGGAGGAGAGGGTGGCTGGGGGGCATCTAGGGGATGCTGTGGCCACTCTGATGCCCCCCCCATGACCTGTTGCCTCCTTCCCAGGGGGTAACTACACGGTCTCAGTGAGGCTTCAGGGTGAGGACCTCGGTGCCCGCCCCCAGCGCCTGGTGATTCTTGACTCTACTTTGACCCCTGTTGATGCCATCCCCTTGGTCCAGCGGCGCAATGCCCAGAGCCATGTCCTGGGCCTGGCACGTCTCAGCCTGCACCACCCGGTACTGCCCACCCTGCTCTCCCCTCCCCCTATCTGCCCCCTCCCCCTTCCCTCATCCTGTCTTGCTCTGTCCCACCCCCTTCCTCTTCTCTTGACCCCGCTTCCCCCCTCTCCCTCCTAACCCTCTTTCCCATCCTGCCTTTATCTCCTCCTCACCTTACCTCAGCCCCTCTCCCCCACAGGTCACCATTCTCCTTGTTGAGGGGCAAACTGGGACCGGGGTCTCTTTCAGCCGCCTCCACCCCACGCCCGTGACTGCTGCAGCCGTGCTGCTGGCGGCCTTGGAGGGGCAGAACAGTGAGTCCCAGGGCATGGAGAAAAGGGGCAGGAAAGGGGAGAGAGGGGCTGGATTTCAGCCTTGACTTTTCCCCGCCTATCTGGGCCTCCATAAACAGCCCCCAGCTGGTCCCTAGATTTACCCCACCTCTCTGCTCCCCCCCTCAAACCATCCCTATCACCTGTCCCACCTACTCCCCCCAACAGCCACTCTCCACCCTGGGGACACCACCACCCTCCAGGTGCAGGTCTCAAACTCCGGGCCTGAAGACACCTTCAGCTTCTCAGTGAGGGATGAATTGGGGCTGCTGCAGAGCTTTGAGCCATCCTCGGTGACCCTGGCATCTGGGGAGAGCCTGGTCCTCTACGCCAACTTCACCGCCCCTAAGAACTTCTCTGGCTTTGCCTCCAGGTGGGTGGAGGATCTTTCCCTCTTTTCCCTCCATCACACAGAGACTCCGTCCCCCCTTGCATGGGAAACTGGGGTAGGGACATTGCTTTGGGGGCTTGGCCCACTTGCCGGGGGGAGGGGAGGAGTTTTCACAAGGAGGTGGCCATGTAAGCCCCTCTTTCATGTTGGCACACTGCTATTCTCATGTGGACTTTGGTCATCTTGGCTGGTGAACCATTTTTTCATAAGGGCATATTGTTCTTTTCACTAGCAGCCAGCCACAAGTCCCCCTTTTCTTGTTAGGAAGACTGCTTCCATGTGGTTATGTCGGTTCATGAATCACTTTTTCACAAGGGCAGTGAGCTGTTTTCATGGAGAGCTAGTCATGTGCTACCATGAACCTCTCTTGCACGTTGGCCAGGTGCTATTTGCATGTGGGCTTCAATCGTTGTGGCTTGTGAACCATTTTCCCACAAGGGCAAGAGGTTACCTGGGGACAGCTGTGCATCACGATGAGCTTCTCTTTCCCATCACTGAGGTGCTATTTTCACATGGGCTTCAGTTGTCTTGGTTGTGAACCACCTTTTCATGAGGGCAAGGGGTTATCTGGGGTCAGCCGTGTGTCACTGTGGGTCTCTCTTTCACATCAATGAGTAATATGTCCTCCCAGAAACAAAACATCCAGGAATTATGGCATCCTAGGATATCTGGCTGACACACCTGGAACTTCCTGGTGCCACACTTCCTGGATACTCTGTATTCCTGGGAGGATTTACTCAATGCCATACATTCAGCTAGGACTCTGGAAAACCATCCTCACGCCCACAGTGCCATGTCTTCCCAAAACCAAGGAGCGTATTATGTGCATGACATTATGGTGAATTGCCTGGCCTTTCTAGACATCTTCCACATTTCCAGACACTTGTGGAAACTTGTTGCTAAAACTCAACTCCACCCAGAAATTTTACCCAAATTTAGGCCTTCCTAGACATCCCCCACATTTCTAGAAACTCTTGGAAACTTGTTGCTAGAATTCAGGGTATTTTGCCCAGAAATATGGCCCCCAAACCTTGGTGTTTTGGGAGATCTTCCACATTTCCAGACACTTGGAGAAACTCATTGCTAGGACTCAGGATATTGTGCCCAGAAATTTTACACCCAAAATTGGAATTCTCCTCCAAAAAGGTTCTGCTTAGGCAACCCCATTTGGGAAATGGAAGAGAATAGCCACAGAAATGTCCATCATAACAGCTTCCCCTTCTTTATTTTTGCCAATTTTTTTATGTTCACCATCAAAATTGTAAGGGAAATCCTGATTGTGGTCATCATTGATGGTGTTTATCGTTCATCATGTGCCCTGTGGCTGGGAGGAGCCTGGGATGGTAACCCCAATCTCTACATTGCCTTCCAGCATTGCAACATTCAGTGCCCGGGGTGGATCAGCACAGAACTACATAAAAGTCCCCCTGATTGCCGTGCCAGAGGCTGCCCAGGTGGGTGGATCCTACTGCCTGGCCAACCATGGCTTGGCGTCCACAGTGATTCATTGCATAGAGCCCAAGAAACTATAGATCACCAATAATTGATCAATGATCAATCAAGTAACCAACCAACCAATCAGGCACCATAACTGATGATCCATCCTGACACATGACAGATGCTTGGTCAACACTAACACCAATAATCAATCAGACAATGATCTATAACCCACAATGCATAATCAATTGCCATGAATTAATCAATACTGACCTATGACAGATGACTAATCAACAGCAAGATGAATAATCAATCAACCAATCATTCACCAACTATAATCCACAATCCATATTGAATTGCTATGAAATCATCAATACAGACCAATGCCAGGTGATTGGTCAACAGTAACACCAATGATCAATCAACCATTCAATGGACCATCATGTATAGTCCACATCCCATAACTGATTGCAGAGAATTCATCAATACCCACCCATGATGGATGATTGGTTGCCAGTAGCACTAATAATTGATCAAAGATAAAAAAAACAACCAATGGATCAATAATCACAACCTATAATCTATAATCCATTACTGCTGGCTGCAAATTCATCAGTACTGGCCTATGACAGATGACTGGTCACCAGTAACACAAATAATTAATCAATGATCAATGAAGCACAATTTATAACCTACAATCCATAGCAAGATGGATGATTGGTCACCAGTTACTCCAATAAGTGATCAATGATCTATTAGTCCTTCACCACCTAGGATCCATGCTGTATAACTGATAGCCATGAATTCATCCGTACAGACCCATGATGGATGACTGGTCAACAATAATACCAATATTCTTTCAACCAATCAATCGATCACCATCTAGAATCCACAATCCATAAATAATTGCCTTAAATTCATCAGTACCAACCAATGACAGTTGATTGGTCACCAGTAACACCAATAATTGATCAATAATCAGTCAATCAACTAATCAACCAATAACTCAATCAATCCTACCTATAATCCATGATTCATAACCAGTATCTCATGAATTCATCAGTATGGACCCAGGACAGATTTGGTCACCAATAATCAATCAATGATCCATCAGTCACCACCTGTACTCCATGAAACATAACCAATTGCCTTGAAGTCTCTGGTACCAACCCATAATGGATGTTTAGTAACACCTGTAATCAATCAATGATCAATCAATTACCACCCATATTTCATGATCTATAACCAATTGTCTTGAATTCATCAATATCAACCCATGATAGCTGGTTAGTCAACAATAACACCAATAATTAATCAATGATCCATCAATCACCACCTATACCCCATTTTCTATAACCAATTGCTTTTAATTCATCAATACCAACCTGTGATGGATGATTGGTCAATAGTGACACCAATAATTGATCAGTGATCAACCAGCCAACTCAATTGATCTAATCCACAACAGATTGCCATGAATTGATCCCCTTTGGATAACCACTAATCAATACCCGGGCATTAGGAATCAACAATCATTAGGTTTAGTTCAGGGTTTTGTGAGAGCCATTGTCAATAGCTGAAGTCGTGATACTGGCAACCCATGATCAGTAACTGATAAATGGCTATTTTGACACCCTAGACAGTGATTGGTGGGTGATTAAAAAGTAATTGACACCAAATCATTGGGAATTGTTGATCAATAGTTGTCTCAGGAGTGCAGGGGAGAAAGCATCCAGAGAAAGCCATGATCATGGCAATGTGATCTGAGCTTACCCAGTTGGTTGTTGTTGATTTCCATGTATTGGGTACTGATTAGTGGTTATCAAAAGGCAATCACCGTCTATTGAGGAGAAATATCCAATCAGCAGTTATTGATCAAGGCTTGCAAAGATCATGGCTTCCTCTCAAGATCCCCTTGAGTTCTGAGATACAACTGTTGATCATCAGTTTCCTAGGCCTGGATGTCAATAACTGATCAATACTCAATCACTACCTATTGAGTAGAGATAACCTCTTATTGGTTATTGATCAAGGGTTGTGATTATCATGACTTCTGCTATTGACAATTTATGAGTTAAACATATTAATTGTTGACTCAAAATGATTGGGTATTGATTAGTGGCTGTCCAGAGGCAATTTTTGTCTATCAGGTAGAAATAATCTCTTATTGGTTATTGATCAAGTGTTGCCAAGATCATGGCTTCCTCTCTTGACAGTTTCTTCTCTCACATCCTGAGATACAACTATTGATCATTGATTCCTTTTTCTTAGGTACTGATGAGTGGTTATCTCAAAGGGATCTCTGTCCCTTAGGTTGAAAGAACCTTTTACCAGTTATTGATCAAGGGTTGCCAATATTTTGGTGACCTCTATCAACAATATCACCTTTCCAACCTTGAGATACAGCTATTGATCATTGATTCCCAAGATTTCAATTACTTTTTTATTTGCTAATCAGTCATGGTCTATTGAGTAGAAATAGCCACTTAACAGTTAGGTTGCAATTATCATGACTTCTGCTATTGAGAAGTTATCTCTGCAAACCCTAAACTTAACATATTGACCATCAATTTGCAAATATTGGGTATTGATTTGTAGTTATGCCAAGGTAATTTCTGTCCATTGGGTAGAAATCACCAATTGTCAGTTATTGATCAAGGGTTGCCAATAGTTTGGTGACCTCTACTGACACTATCACTCCTCCAGCCTTGAGATACAACTATTGATCATCAGTTCCCCAGTGACTGGATGTCAATAATTTCTTTCTCCATAGTCAATCACTGTCTGTTGAGTAGGAATAGCCATTTATTGAATATTGATTGTGGGTTGCCAGGTCATGCCAGGTTGCCAGGTCACGCCTTCCTCTATTGACAATTTTACCCCTTCAGCCCTGACATGCATCTTTTGATCACCCATTCCAATACTGGGTATGGACTGATAGTTATTCAAAGGTGATCTCTGAATACTAGGTAGAAATAACCTCTTACCAGTTATTGATCAAGTGTTGCCAAGATCATGGCTTCCTCTCTTGACTATTTGACCCCTTGAACCTAGAGACTCAACTACTGATCACTGGTTCTCCATTATTGCGTATTGATTAGTGCAGTCCAAAGGTGATCTCTGCCTATTGGGTAGAAAGAACATCCTATTGGTTATTGATCAAAGTTCTCAATATTTTGGCGACCTCGCTTGTCAATTTCACTTCTCAAAGCCTGGCACAAAACCAGAAGCCTAAAATACAATGCTTGATCATTGATTCCTAATGACTGGACATCGGTTACTTTTCATCAATACTCAATCACTGTCTTTTGAGTAGAAACAACCTCTCATTGGTTATTGATCAAGGGCTGCCAATCTCATGGCTCCCTTTCTTGACAATGTCACCCCTCAAACCCTGAGTGGTGATCAACATCAGTTCATCATCAATTTCCAATTATTGAATATTGATTACTAGTCCCACAAAGACAAATCCCTGTCTATTGGGTAGAAATATCCTCATCAATTATTTACCAAGGGTTGCCAATATTTTGGTGACCTCTATCGACTATCTGGCCCCTCAAACCCTAAGATATAATGATCAATCATTGATCTTCAATGATTAGATGTTGATTCCTTTGTAATCAATAGCTGATCTCTGTCTCTTGAGTACAATCAATGACTGATCATAGGTTGCCAGCCATGACTGGGTGTTATGACTGGTTCTTAAAGCCAATCACTGCCTACTAACTGTCCTATCCAATACATCAGATATTGATCACAGCATCCCAAGGCCTCTGCTGAGTCTGTGGAAGATCTGGCCTCATATATTGATCAGTGATGGCTTTCCTGGTGCTGGCAGCCAGACTATTGATCCCTGATGGGTCGGAGCTCGGAGCTGTGATCATGATGTGGAGGTGGGGAGGTCTGTGGGGGCTGGAGGCTGGGCTGGGCTCCCTCAATACCTACCTGGGACTTTCCCCAGACAGAGGATGTGATCCCGCCGACCCATAAGCTGCTGGGAGTCAATTTCCCCTGTGTCAAGGAAGACCCTGACTGTACCCGGCACAACTGGACAGTGCGATTCAGTGTCACTGACGATCAGGGCCCTGTGACCATCCAGGTGGTTGAAAATCCCCGGGGCCTGACCTGTCGACTAGCTACCTCCGGGGGCCAGATCTGTGTATATCGGTGAGTAGCGGGGGCAGTGGGGCCCCTTACTCCTGACCCACAGCGCCCTGAGCCATCCAGCCTTGCTGATGCCCCTCACTCCTGACCTGCAGCCCTTCACAGCCCTGTGGTGCCCCTCACTCCCAACCCACAGCTCCCTGCCCCCCCAGCCCTGCCAGTGCCTTTCACTCCTGACCTCCAGCCCGCCACATCTGTCACCACCTGCAGATCGACCTGCTGCTCCCAGGTGGTCCAGCTGCTGTTCAGTGACAGGACTGGAAATGCTGACACCCTCGTGGTGGACTACAGGAATCCCGATCTCTAGTGGCTATAGAGCAGGGGGGAATGGTTGGGAGCCCAGGTGCCTGAGTTCTCTACCCCTTGATGTGGGAGAAGAGCGGGAGCTGGAGGAGTGGGCAGAGCTGCAGATCCTGCACCTCCCCCTAATAAATCCAGATCCTGCGCCTCCCCCTAATAAATCCAGATCCTGCCCCCCCCCGCCGCAGATCCTGCCCCCCTAATAAATCTCTGGCAACCGGCAACTCCACGGCTCCGTGTTGCTCATTGCACTCGGACCTGCACCCAAAATGCAACCACTTCAGGGAGGAGAATCACCCCATCAGACGAGCACTGTTGTGGATGGGGGTGCGGGTCGGGAGCGCGGGGCACCTGCAGGTCTGGGGGCTGCGTTCCAGGGAACAGCCCAGGCCTGTGCCTCCTTTCAGCTGCAATACAGACATCAGCCACCAGGGGGCAGCAGAAACCAAGGCAAGGCAGAAGGTGGCCTCTGGGCGCCTGGACACCTGCTGGGTTGCCTGGGAGGCGAGCAGGGACCGGGGACCAGAGCCGGGGAGCTGAGAGCCTGCGTGCCCCTGTTCTCTGCTAGAGGGAGCTCTGTCTCCTTCCCACCCCACTGCTTCACCCCCCCAGTTGCAACACCCAGGGGAGGGGGGCACCAGGGGGCGCTGTGGCCACCAAGCTTGTTCTATGTGGCTGTTGCCCCCCACCCAGAGCCAGCCCCAGCTCCTGTCCCCATTATACCCAGCCCTGCCCACCCCAGAGCCAGCCACATCTTGGTCCCTTGGAGCAGTTGGGGCATCCCCAGCCCCCACAGTTCCCTTCCCAGACAGCCCGGGTGTCCAGGCTCCCAGCCCACCCTCGGCTCTGCCCCCAGCCCCCACTCCCCCCCCCCACCAGAACCCAGGCATCCGAGAGGGGGATTCCCTGCGGCTGGGGGACAATCACAGTGAGAAACCCTGATAAAACCCCCCTAACAAGATAAAAAGCTGTAGTCAGATTGGAGGAAGCTGGGGGTGGGGAGCCCGGATGCCTGGGTCCTTTGAGAGGGGAGTGGAGGTGAGGCGTGAAAGTGTGGTTGAGGGGGGAGCCCGGACGCCTGGGTTCTCTGGAAGGGAAGTGGGGGGTTTGGTGGGTTCAGAGGAGGCAGCCCGGACGCCTGGGCTCTCTCCCTGGTAGAGGAGAAGGGACCGGTGTGGCCTCGTGGCTTATGGCTGAGAGCCAGGACAGGACACCTGGTTCTTTCCCCAGTTCCAAGAAAAGCAGCAAAGTCCACTGGGGTTTTGGTGGGGGGGCTGGGCTCTTTGGCCCCGCTCCCCTAACACAGAACCAGGCGTCCAGGCTGCGAACACCCAGCCACATCCGGCCTGGTTCTTAGCACCAGCCACAGCCCCTGGCCCAGATCTATGGCGGGGCGCAGACACCTGGGTTCAGTGCCCAGTTCTAGCAGAGGAGTGAGGATGACTGGCTCAGCACTGAGGCCCTGGACACCTGGGTTGCATGCCCTGCTTTGAGAAGGGAAGGGGATGCAATAGGCTGGAGCAGGGGGTGGGGGGCTGCCAGCCTGGATGCCTGGGCTGTCTTGGAAGGAGACCCATTGGTGCGTGGGTGGGATCCTGGGCGCCCGGGTTCCCTGGGAAGCGGGGCCTGGGCTCTTCCAGCAAGCGCAGCTGGGAGCCTGGACGCCTGGGTTCTCTTCCCATTCTCAAAGGGGAATGAGGCCTGCTGTGTCTGGGCTTCCCCCAGTTACACATGGGGTTTTTGGGTGGGGAGTGGGGCTGGGGGTGAGAGCAGGGTGGTGTGGAAGCCCGGATGCCTGGGTTTTCTGGACAAGCAGGGCCTGGCAGGCGAGAACCTGGATGCCGGGTTCTCCGGGTGGGGAGCGAGCGGGGCGGGGGCGGGGACCCGGGTGCCTGGTTCTCTGCAGCGGGGGCAGCTTTCCGGGATCCGCAGCCTGGTTCCCGTGACGCACTGGGACAGGGCCCGGATCCGGTCCCCATGACGCCTGGCTGCCACAGTGACGATGGCTGGGGGGTGGGGGAGAGTTGCAATTTCCCAGCCCCAGCCACAGAGTGACCCAGATTTGGGCAGGATGCTACTGGGGTCACGGTGTCCGGACGCTGGGTTCTGTGGGACGGGGTGGGGCTGGGAGCCCAGGTGCCTGGGTTCGCTGACTTCCAGCCTTGGCGGCAGGGCGTACTGCACAGTTTGGGCGCTGGCAGCCCGGACGCCTGGGTGCTTTTCCCACCCTGTCTCCTGGGCTTCGGGGAGTGGGGACCAGGGTCCCCGGACACCTGGGATCCCCGGTTCAGCTCTGACGTGGCAGTGACCTCGCGAGGAAGCTGCCGCCTCCAGCCCCAATCGCTTAGGCCAGGCTCTGCGGCGCCCCTCACTCCTGACCCGTAGCCCCCTGCCCCCCAGACCTGCTGGCACCCCTCACTCCTGACCTGCAGCTCTGGCTCCTGAGATGGACCCAAAGCTGGGGCCAGGGAGTGAGGCTTGGGGCTGAGAGCAGGGGCCCAGAGAGGTGACTTGCAGGCCCTGGAGGATGTTGCCTGGTGCCGCGGGGGCGGGTGGATCCACCACGATTACCTAACTGTTGGTTTCGGCTCCGAGGCGGAAATTTGAGCATACACAGCATGATGTAACTGGGAGCTGGGCCTACGGGTTGGGAGTGAAGGGTGCTGGCAGGGCTGGGGGGGGCAGGGGGCTGCGGGGCAGGGGCAAGGGGCTCGGGCAGGGTCAAGGGGGTGGACTTTCCTGGCCCGGCCCCACACCCTGGCTGTGGGTGGAAGGAACCTAGGAAAGGGAAGAGGAAGGTGGAAATGGAAAACCCGAGTCTCTGGGGAGAGCCCAGGCTTCCTCCCAGTCCTGCTGGTGCCCCTTGCTCCTAACCCACAGCCCTGTGGCCCCCCCAGTCCTGCCAGTGCCTCTCACTCCCCACCCACAGCCCCGGCTCCCTGGTTTTTCCCTCCCCACGGGGTTGCGTGAGCTTTGGGACTTGCTGTGGTTCATCGTGCCACCACATGTTTCTCCTTCGCGTAGAAGGGGAAGGAAAGTCTCAGCTTCAGAGACTGAAAATAGCTCCAGGGCTTCCGCCGGGGAAGACGCAAGAGCACCAGGCATCTGGGCTCTGCGCCCCACCCCGTGCACCCACGGGCTCCACTTCTCCCCCATAGCTCTGGGGTGAACCCAGGCATCCGGGCTCCCACCCCCCGGCTCTCACTCCCCACGGGGGAGGGGACCTATGCGTCTGCCCTCCCCAACCCACGATATGTAGGGCTCAGGCCTGGGCTCCCCCGACAGGATGTGACTCAGGTCCCTGGGGCGGGGGTGGGGAAGAGACTTTTATTAGGAGCCTGGGGTGTCCTTGTTAAAGCTAAAAATAGACTTCCTGGAAAGCAGGGAGACATGGTGCTGGCTTGTCCCAGGCCTGATACACCTACTGGCTTGGGGACAGGGGGCTGTGGGTCGGGAGTGAGGGGCACAATCAGGGCTGGGGGGTGCGCAGCGGGCTGTGCATCGGGAGTGAGGGGCAGCACTTGGAGAGGGGGCTGTGGGTCGGGAGTGAGGGGCACTGGCAGGGCTGGGGGTGGGGGGTCAGAGACCCTGGCATCCATGTCCCAACAGCCTCCTGGGTTTACCTCCCTGCCTGGACTCCTGTGTCCATTGCCCATCTTAAGGCATGGATGGTTCAAGGGGTGGGAGAGGAAGACATCCTGGCCTTGCTTTTATACAAGTGAAGGGAGAGGGGGCAGAGTCACAGGCATACCTAGCTCTGCCCACTGATAAAGGGGGGCTCCAGCCTTCCCTGCCAGAGCTCATTCTGTGCCCAGTGAGCCTGGGCGTCCTGGCTGCCAGTGCCCCCACAGCCCCACTCCCCTCCCAGGCATCCAGCCGTCAGTCTCCTCCTGCTCTAACCATGCCACACCACTCCCCTCCCAGAGGTGGGAAAGAAGCCAGGTGTCCGGCCCCTGGGCATCCCATGCACCACTCCCCTCCCCTCTCCAGGGAGATAAGAGAACGCAGGCATCTGGGCAACCCTCCACCCCCTCCTCTGCTCCCACCCCTCAGCCCCCACTCCCCTCCCAGAGATCCCAGGCATCCAGGCTCCCAGCCTGCCCTGGTCTGTAGCTCCCAGAACAGAGGAAGAACCCAGGCGCCCGGGCTCAGTCACCTCCTGCTCTAACCATGCCACCCCACTCCCCTCCTAGAGATGGAAGAGAGCCCCAGTGTCCAGGTCCCCAGCTGCCCAGAGCCCCACTCTCCTCCCCAAGGAGACAGAGAACCCAGGTGTCCAGGCTCCCAGCTGCCCCACAACCCCACCAGGGACGCCAGCCATCCAGGCCCCCAACCCTGCCTTTCTCCAACCCACTAATCAACCTCACAGCCAGGCCCCAACCCAGACTACTTCCAGCTCCATAGGGTGGGGATACTGGGGCAGATTTGTGACTACTGGAAGGATCCCCTGGACCAGACACAACACAGGTGGTGAAGAACAGAGCTTTATTGTGGAGTCACTTGTACAACAAAGAGGAGCTCTTTTATCGCTCTCCCCCACACAAATAAATAACAACCCGCACCCCTCCCTCCCTCCTCCCCCGCCACAAGTCTTGGTCTGGAGAGCAGGGAGAACCCAGGCACTCGGGCTCCCAGTCCCCCACTGCTGTAATTAAGACCTCTGACTTCACTCTTTGCCCAGAGTGTAAAGAAAACCCAGCTGTCCGGGCTTCATCCTAGCTTCCTGCAGTCCCCTCCTGGAGCAGTCGGAGACCCCAGGTGTCTGGGCTCCCTTGCAGCTGCCCCGAGTGCCCTCCGGAGTAAGCAAAGAACCCAGGCGTCCTAGTACCGTAATATACACAGTATACATAGAACCCCATTGAGCCCATGCTCAATATAGGGGCAGTAGTCACTCCCTATCCCCTCCAGAAGAGGAGAGGGGCCGTATTGCACACACACACCACACACACACATCCTGGCTAGACAGCAAGGAGACTCCTGGGAGCTGCGCTATATACAACACTGTGCCTTATCTAACACAATCACATGGAAGATCCCAATAGGACAGGAAACAGGTCATCCTCCATGCCATCCAATGGCCAGGTGTGTGTGTGTGCGCTTGTGTGTGTGTGAACACAGCCAGGGTTGTGTTGCTTTGTGTAGACACACACAGATGTGGGGTGGGTGTGTTAAAACGCATACCCGCCCCTCTATTCATGACAGGTAGGCACATGGGAGT